AATTTCAAACCAAACACAGACAAATCTTATTGAATAAAGGCCTTATTGAATTCAAAGGTGGTGAATACACCATTGATGCATTATTCTTTCTCGAGAAGCTAGGAAAACACATGGTCAAATGTCCATAAATATCTAAGGAAAATGTGTAATTAAGTACAGATTCAAAACTCTTTAGAGCTATCTTCATCTCTGGCACAATTTGCTATGTTAATGTGAAAGATCATTACCCCATGCTTCCATTTCACATCTCCAGTATTATCTTATTCCTCCATCTTTACCTCACATCCACCAATAACCAAAATAATTCAGGATGTAATAGCAAGTTACCAAATCACTCTGAATACTTAAAAAGAATATTCTTTATATATGTATATATATATTAGGAGTATATACAGAGTACTACAGAGTAAAAAAATCTGCAGACAGATGTAAAAGTATGTGTTTCACCAAAGTTTGGGCTAAACTACATTGAATAAGGTATTGGAAAAAAGTTACCAGATTTGACAGACCACGGCTGTAATTAACTGCGATGGATTTTTTCTCCCCCTAAAATCACACTACTTACCTTTCTTTTTTAATTAATCTTATATATCACAATAGAGTTGAACTAATTTTACTTGGCAGAAAGAATGAAGGATGAAAAAGGACAAAGGAAAATACAGAAATAGAGTGAAACATTGCCTGTATTTGAAAGTCTTTACATTCACTAGTATAGTTCAATCCATTAAATGTAATGGTTTCAAGATCCCATATAGTAAATTTTAATGTTACTGAAACAAGAAAAACATAAGAAGTCAGAAAGACTATAAACCATTTCCTCACTGATATGACAGTGCAATTGAGCATATTTGATATGTGAATTCCATCTCATTCCCTTTCTGGATAATATGTTCCACATTAAAAAAAGAAGCAAACTGCATTTTGCAATATTTGCTCAGCAATATGCCAAATGAACTGGCAGAAAGAACAAATTACTTCTGCTCTCAAGTAGGGCGGATACTATTCTTAGGTTATCGGAGAGACTACTGGTGCACAAGCATTATGGTATTGGTGTATGATTCCAGACTGGTGCGGAGGGCTGGGCACAGGGTCCATGGGGCATCGCAGATCCTCGCCAAGCGCTACCGTGGGTCATGCCTCTGCTGCAGATGAACACCACATGCACTAGTTCTTGCTGAATAACACACGTGGATAATCTCAGTCCAGTTTACGGTAGACACACAGCCCCATAGCAGCCATAAGAAAGGAAGCAAAAGGGTAAGAGAGTAAGAAACCAACCTGAATAACATCTTGGGTGTTAGAAAACTCATCCAGTAAGTCCTTGACAGTATTACTGTATAGAATACATCTTTAGCTATCACACATGCAAAAGTCTTACATCGTCTTACATCTTACAACAAGAAATAATGTAGCCTAGGTTGTTCCCTTCCCACCCCTAAGGATGACATGGTGCCACTACGTAGCACACAACACAGTGGCTACAGCACGAAAGAAGACTTCTTCATAGGACTCTTGGATGATCTCAAACTACCAAATCAGATTTGCTGGTAGCTCAAAATTCAGGGACAGTTCTGCTACCTTATATTCAGTAATTCACTGGGTAATATATCAGATTGTCAAGCAAGAGTAAAGATGTTTATGTATATTTCATTACTTCTACAAAGAAGTGTAACTCCTAGGGAGAATCATTCTTTCATGATATGTATTATTAAAAAAAAAAAAAAAAAAAANTTTTTTTTTTTTTTTTTTTGAGACTATGGAAGACATCATATAAAACGGTATAAACAGAATTATCAGTGCAAAAGTGGACATAGCGTAGTTCATTTTCTGAGTTTTACGTTCTACAGAAAAATTTAATGGCTGTCAAAAAACTCATTATGCTCTCAAATGAAAAATAACCTAATATGGTAAGGAATCCATGGCCTTTTTGTAAACAGGCTAAAATGAGATTTGGTTAAACACCTTCTAAGTAAATCTAGCAATTTAACTCCATTAAACTCTACCCATTTAGAAGCGTGCACAGACTGAAATTCAAGCATGATAGGGAATCACAGAAAGGAAGAAGCTGCGGAGGACGCAGCCCTCAGCGTTCCCAGGGCTTTGTCAGCTAGTCAGGCTAACAGACCAGGTGAGGAAGCTGCAAAAAATAAAATAAAATAAAATCTCTTCCCCAAACAAAGATTACCTGGAGGGAGAGCGCAGCCTCTGCCACTACAGAGTGACTACCACCAAACCATTTCTGATATCTACCTCCTGAAAACCTCTCCAAAACATGCAGAAGGGCACCTTGACATCACACACACAATGGTTAAGGTTAGAAGCGACTTCTAGAGATCATCTAGTCATTTAGTCCATCTTCTGTGTAATTCTAATTTAGGAGATACTATTAGTTTGCTTAACGTCATACAGAGGCAGCTGTGGGCAAGCAATTTGCATGAATGAACATCAATTTCTTTTCTCAGTGGGGAAAAAGTATAGTATAATTAGTATAGTATAATTAGTGTTGCTCTAAGGATCATCTTTTCCTTGCCTTTTTACCAATATGAGAGGGAAGTTACGTGCAGTGCAACATTCTTGTTTCCTGTAGCCTGTGATRCAGCTGTCTCACCTGCTCATGAAAATACTTTTCCAAGCTAGTATAAAAGGAGTAATTCTAATCTTAAGTGGTGCAGAACTTTGACATTCATAAACCTCCCCCTTAAAGATAACTGTTTCTTAAAGCATTTAAGATAGGTTAAAGGCTTTTTATGATGTGTGGAATGAACTGCCAATTAACAGATCAATGAAACAGAATAACTCTTTTTTTTCAGTTACTGTAATTATATCATGGTTGAATAAAATAAATAATAAAYAAAAGCTTGGACATAATAGGTTGATACAAAAGTGCTCAATTACAGCACTGTTGTAGGACTGCAATAATACAGTGCTATTAAGTATGCATTCTAATAACTTAAGCTAAAAGTTTTCCATATAAAGTTAATTTTTATTTGACATGTGCATTTTCAGCTAGATACAGCAGCTAATTTTATTCTAGTATGAGTATTGTAACAATATCTGTTGAGTGACAAATCTATGCCTTATATGTCCTGTTATCTTTCTCCTTTGTGATATTGTAAGTATTAGCAAAAGACAAAATATCATCCCAGATTTGCAGTTAAATGTCAAAAACAGACCAAAAAAAAAAAAAGGAAAAATAAACAAAAAATCCACCACTATTTCCAAATAAATTAGTCAAATCAAAACTCAGACATCACTCAAAAATAGCAATTAGCACCAGTTTAAGGTTAGACATCAAGTCAATTGTATTGTTCAGCAGTTCACTGCCTCTAAGGTAAATCCACAAACATTATGCTCTGTATGGGCTGAAGATCAGTAAGTGCCTTTTACACATCTCTTCATCTAACTAATACTTGAATTTTTCTTAAAACACAGTTTCTGTATTTAGTGAACACAACCAGTAAGAACTTCTAAGTGTTTGGTGTTTACTGAGCTTGATAGCCATGACTTCTAGCTTGGGAGGTTCATTACAAGAAAAATTCTTCAGTAGGAGGACAAGGCAGCACTGGAGCAGGTCACACAGAGAGGCTGCAGGATCCCTCTCGTCACTGGAGGCTTTCCAGCCTCAGCCAGACTGAACTGCAGCTGATCTGGTCTGGTGTTGATAACAGTCTAAATTCAAGCAGGAGGTCAGACTTGATGACCCCTAAGATGTCCCGCTGAAACATCATTTCTCTGATTACTCTATTTTGGAGAGGGCTGGGGAATGAAGGACAAAAACCAAGATTTTGTCCTTTTTTTTTTCTCCTTTTTTTTTGGCTTCTTGTGTATGAAAAATTCTCCTGCAAGTTTCACAGCTTAAACAGCTAAAACTTCATGAAAAAGCAAAATGCTTTTCCAGTGATCATATTATTACTATCACCAAATTGCCTTGCCAAAGAACTGACTAAGAATGAATTACCTACAGCAGGCACGATAATTCTGGCACCCCAAAACAGTTAGCACTGGATTTTACAAACCCTTAGCAACATAGGAGTACCAAGCTCATAAAAAGCCAAGTGGAAATGAATTCTTTTTTCGCAACCTATCAACATCCCTCCAGAAAGTGTTTCTTTAGGGCTTTTTTTTAAAAAAAAAAAAAAAAAAAAAAAAAAAAAAGGAAAAACAGAACTGAATAGAAAATAAAGAGATACGAAATGTTTTTCTGAACATTCTAAACATTTCAAAACTGAATTATCAGGGAACGTAGGGTCACGGTCCAAAACTTTAAGCATTCTATGTGTTCACTGGCATGGAGGTGATGGAGAGCTGGCGCTGTGCACGACACACACAGCACACCTGGCAATTTTCACCAGGTGTGCACGGGAGGCAGAGAGCAATTTCGGTTAGCCTTGCCTAGAAGGTCATTCCCATCACACTCCTTCATTTTACTAGTTTCTCTGTATAGAGCGTGCCCTTGAAGCAAAACAGCTTTCCTTTTCAGCTTTGAATGGCAGCTGAATTTGCTTGCGTGGGACACAGATGGTTCAAAGAGGATCTATCCGCAGGAGGCAGGTGCCACGACCCCTCCAAGAGCCAAGACACCACCGGCGCGCCCGCCCTCCCGCTGCAAACCCCTCACATCCTTAAGCCAGCGCTCTGCACTCGCAGTCGCTCCCGGCAGCGAGTTTAAGCGCGGCTCTCAAAACTTAAAGGACTTCACCCGCGCAGCCGGCCGCTTTCCGGGGGCTGCGCTGCTGCCGTTCCGGCAGAAAGCGCCTCGCAAACGCTCTGCTCCGGCACCGAGCCGAGCCGAACCGGGCGTCCCTCCCGGGCCAACCTGTTGCCGGGCCCGGCGCGGCCAGGGCTCCGCGGCCGGGCGGAGCGGAGCGCAGCAGAAGTTGGCGGCGGGGCCGGACAGGACTGCGCGGCGCTGCGCGGGGGCAGCTCGGCCGGGCGGCTGCGGCGAGCGGCCCCGGGGGCGGCCGCGGAAGCGCCCGCGGGTGGGCGGGCGGGGGTCTCACCTTCTGCTGCCGGCGGGCCATGTCCGTGGGCTGCTTGGCGTTGAAGGGGTGCGCGATGCAGCGCACGATGAACACGTAGAGCTGCAGCCGGAGCCGCTGCTCGCGCTCCTCTCTCTGCAGGCGCTCCTGCTCCTCGCGGCCCTCGCTCAGCACCGACGGGCTGGGGCTCGCGGCCCGCGCCGCCACCGCCTCCCGGGCCCGCGGGTCGCGCGGCGGCAGCGAGCGCGACGAGCCGCCCGCCACCACCAGCACGTCCCGCCGCTCCTCGTCCAGCACCTCATCGGACTCCTCCTCGCTGGAGGACGGGTCCAGCATCGCGCCCGGCGGGCGAGCGGCGCGCCCGGCCGCGCAGCCCCAGCGACGGCGGCGCGCACCTTTCCGGACACGTCGAGTTTACACACGGGCTATTTCCTAGCGGCGGCGGCGGGCGGGCAGGGCGAGAGGCGGGGTTTGGGAAGGGGGTCGAGCTTGGGTTGCCGTGGGAATTGCTCCGAGCGAGCGGCTCCCAGCGGAGGCGGCGCTGGGCGAGCACGGCGGCGAGCGCTGGCCCGCAGGTGGCCACAGGTGGCCGCAGGTGGCCTGTCCCCCTCTGCGAGGGGAAGCGAGGGAGCAGGACGACCGGGTGCGGGCGGAGTTTTCCCATATCCGGAACAGGGAAGCGGGGAAACGCGTCCGGAGGCGGCCCCGGGGCCTCCTCTGCTGCGTGGTGTGGGGTAAACACGGGTGTCCTGCGTGAGTCCGGGAGAGGAGACCGCCCAAAGCCTCCAAAATCGAGAAGAGGGCAGAGCTGCCGCGGGACACGTCCGCTGGGGACCCGTGGTGGGGACGGGGGGCTGCACATCCCACCGAATCGCTCATCCCGGGTGCTTGGGAATGCACCCGTGTTCGCACCACTTGTTTGCATAGTTAGGACTGCGAGAGGGAAGTGAGAGCCTCCGATGAGCAATGAATCCCCAACAAAGTGAAGGAGGAAAAAAGAAAAGATGAGAAAAAAAAAAAAACCCACCATGTGAAAAAATAAACTCTGTGTGTAGCCCCTTCTAAAGGTAACTGTGGGGAGGGAGGGTACATTAGGTTTCATTTGGTCAGCAAGACCTTCCTTTGCTCGCTGCACCCTCCCTCATACACAGTGGTCCTGATCCCCTGAGGCCAGTGACAGCGGAGGGAGGCCCGGGAAGGAAAAGACAGAGCTGTTACCATTTTAATGCATTAAAGTGATGACAACTGAGGCTCTGCCCACACAGCCCTTGGCCTTTGCTGACTAGTAGTGACAAATTTTAAGAGTCCCGAACTGGGACACACTCCAAGGCCTGCTCAGTTCCACTGTATGAAGATAGTCGTTCATCCCTTTTAAGCTGGTCTAAGTTTAAAGTGGTGGTTTAAAGGGGCTCTAGTCTGTTACTAGCATTTTGATGCATCCGGTCCTCCAGTAAGAGAATTAGGAAGCAGGCAGCTTTCTCCTAAGAGAACCAGCTTGCAGAGGGGAAATTACTCCTCCTGTGGGCAGCTATTGGCTACATGTCAGGATTAACTCTTAGGATTCTGGGTTCCCAGGAGAGAAATGAGGTGCAGCATCCAGAAAGAGCAATGCTGGCAAACACACTGACTTTGTTGGTTTAGGTGGCTAAGTGTAGCAGTTATATAAAAACAATTTTTTTTAATATGGCTCTTTGTATGACATTAGAAGAGTAGCAGAATTTGTGAAATGCATAAAGACAGTCAATGAAAAGTATGAAATGACCAGAAATTGTTAAGGCCAGTTTTTGTGGGTACCACCATCACCATATGTCAGTATCTTGTAGGAGGCAAGAAGAAGACAAGGATTAAAAGAGGAGCTAAAGCATCTTTTCATTCGCCTCATAAGGGCAGGCTTGACATGCACATGAGTGCACTGAGGCAGTTTTTTTGCAGGAAGATATTAAATGAAAGACTACAAGTCTTATCTATTTTTCTTCTTCTTTTTCCAAGTACTTTGTGCAATAAAAAATATATAACTGGTTACAATAAAAAATATATACTGTAAACTGTTTTTTCGCTAAGAGAAATTCACAGCTGAAGAGAAATACACTGGCACCTTTGCAGATGCCTTTCACAGTAATTTACTGTCTTTTTAATGGCATGTACATATAAAATATGACAATCAAGAACTTGCCAGTGAAGATATGCAAATCATCTGCTGGGATATTAACTCTCTGAAGCTTCAAAGTAGTCAGATTCCAAACATTTTTAAGTTAAAGGGCACAGTTTAGCAGTATCATCCCGCAATTACTCCTGCAACTCTTCTCTATAGGAAAGGCTTCATCATTTCAGTAGCACCTTCCTTGGGTTTGAGATGTGCTGACCAATCTGTAGTTCCTCCTTGTCTTCTTGAGCAAAATTTCTTAGGCAATGCTTATCCTTTTGAAAGATCTTCCCTAGAGCTCTGTGAACAGGACCTCTAGTATGACAACCAAAGTCTTGCACTTCGCTTTCAAGCATCATTTCTCTATGTATCTTCTTATTTATAAAGAAAAACAAGAAAAAGAATTAATTCCAAGTTGAAAATATTCTATTTTGAGCATGGTTTGATGGAAAACAAATTTTTCTTGCATAAATTAATTTCACAAAATCCATTGACAATATCTAGGAGTGTATTTAATAACTAAGAAAGGGCACTGTTAACTTTGCAGCTCCTTTTAAGAATACCCCACCAACCTTTTCATCTGGCAGTCAAAGACTTATGTTTCCATTATCCAAGGCCATTCTCATCTAACATTGTTCGATAGTTTTGACTCTGTTCTTTTTTTTAATTCTTTGTGCTATTTTTTTCTTCAAATTCATTTAAATACAATATCTTTTTTTTTCATATAAACATTTCTATAAAGCATGTAAGTCACCCTTCCTGAATCCACATTATCTACTTTATAGATAATGCTATTGTCAGATTTTTGTGTTGTGAGTATCATAAGAGGCAGTCAGAATTTTCCTCCTTATTTCCTGGGAGACTTGCATTCACATGCTGCTGAACCAGTTATGTGCACAAATGTCAATATGAATCTATATACAAATACCTATGTACTTAAAAAATCCAGGCCTAATAATGAAAACTCATTCATTATTTCTCTTGAAGGCAATCTAACCAAACCTGTTTCATTTGTACTCCTGCTTACTTCTCTAATCTAATCTTAATGTGCTAATCAGCACATTTACTTAAAATTGTACTTTCAAGTGCAACTTTCCTATCTAAATTCACTTTATGAAGCATATTTATTTTAACAGAAGTGCATTAATAAGTAAGTGAGCTTTTCTTAATTATATAGCAATGGTAGAAAGGTTTGTCACTTAAACTTTAGGGGATAAAAGAAATAGTAAGAATTTAATACTGTAAAAATCATTTTTGAACTTATCAAAAATGTTTATTTCAAGATATAGATAACATATATATACTTGGGATATATATATATACAGCTAAAAATAAAGTATAGGAGTATTTATACTTAGTAAAGCCTTCCTATTACAGAATTAGTGCCTTGTAGCTCACTCATAAACTCTCTTGGACATTAAATTTGTTATTATTTGAAGGCTCAGTAGTTCACAGTCAATTCTTAGCATAAATAGTTCTTGCATTATTTTTCCCTAATGCTTTAGCTGACTAAATCTTGCAGTTAACCAAGAATTTTACCTTGTACTATTTGTAAGAGTATTGTAGCCAGACTGTGATGTTTCCAGGCTGCTTTATAATTGCCATGTCTTGAGAATATATCACACCAAATAGTGCTTACCTGGTGGGTTAAGTAAGTGACTGTCCTTTGCCTTACCCAGTGTGACCACATTTATTTATATAACATGAACTTGTATAGAAAACCTTGAAAATATGAGTGAGAAATGGCACAAAAGTACAAAATCTGAAAGTAAACTAGAAGGAGTTGCATTTTATGATTATTTTTTAAATAATGTAACTGTGAAGCTGATCATGCATCAGTTTTGCAGCCTGGCTCAGAGTTCTTGAAGGCCTCTGACTGTTTGCACTGTTTTCCTTTGATATGAATAAGTTTTTGCCCAGGCAAGAACACATGATAGAGATGCCTTATGCACCTGTGGACTAAGTAGTGTGTGTTAGCAATCCACCTGGAGGCACATACATTTGGAAGTGAAATAGAACTTGCATATTGCTTTGTGATGAGCAGCATCCAGTAGATCTACATAATTATAAATTTATCAGTGTTTTTGTGCTACCAGTGTATGGCTCTATAGTGTGAAAATCCATACATAGCCAATGCATTTCCCTACTCTCCAACTTCCCTATGCAGGAGATTATTTTTGTTCCTTTGTGAGGAGTTTGAGAAAATAGCTGAAATTTCTGCAGGTTTCATATCTGGATGTTACACCTCATATGTTTCAGGTGTTCTGTGCAAGTTTAGATGTTTGGCTAGGAAGTTGTGGAATGAAGTCAGTCAGTGACATTTTTGTCTTGGTCACACCTATTGTGGCTTTGGCAGTAGTAACATGAGCATTACAATAAGGAGAACTCTTCAGCTTGTCTTGGCAAAGAAAAAGGAAAAGGAAAAGGAAAAGGAAAAGAGAAAAAAAAAGAAAAAAAAAAGAAAAAGAAAAAAAGAAATGCTCAGAACTCTCCCTGAAAATCAGGCTTGCCTGTCTTTTTTGTTTTGCACCAAGCCCCACTGTTCCTTCTAGGAGCACTATGGTGAATGACGGGAGTGACACAGCTGCTTTCTAAACCCTGAAAGAAAGGATTTGCTTTATTTTTTTTCCCCTCTCTTTTAATCTCACAAGCAAGTGGCAGAAGATTTGCCATCTTAAAAGGTGGAGGAGACACTGCATGGCATTAACTGCCTTTTTATTTTACTCCTGAGGCTGCTCTACTACAAAGTCCTTTGTCTGCCATGACCTCTTTCACTTGCAGACAGCAACAGAATATCTCCTCTTACATAAATAGTGTCCTGTTACAGTTGCAAAGTTTAGGAAGGTTTTTCTTCCAAAACTCTTCTCTTTTCACTTTTTGAAACTGAGTTATCATTAGATGTAATGATCTTATGATTCCTTTACGTCCTGATAGCATCTTTCGATGCCCACATACCAGTGTCAAGAGGCTGAATAGGTCTCAAACAAGAGCACAGGGAAGAATGAGGGTCCACGTGCTTGATTTTTTTCTACTAGCTCTTCCAACCTCTGAGTGAAATCCTCATCTTCTCTTCAGATATGTCCCTAAAGAAACCAAGCCACCAGGCAGCCAGGGGCAGTTGAGGAGGGTAAATGATGTTAACAGCTGAGCGATGTAAAAAAGAGAACATGATTTTGATCTAAGCATTTTCTTA